CGGTTACCACGCAAGAAACCACCTTCGCGCTGACCAAAACGACCGAGATTAGTCTCTGCGGTTACACATTGATTGAAACGGAATACCCTAAGCTCTTTATTCTAGAAACGCAGAGCGATCGAACATTTAGAGTGCGATCTAGAATCTCCGTAGATAATCTAGACATCTTTGCATATATAAACTCTATGTTTATATATGTAGAGAAACATATAAAAACACAATTAACATATCTGTATCAAGATATCTTGGAACAAAAGTGCGCCTTAGAAAAGCAGATTCTGCAGAATGTGCTCACTTTATCCAGTATCGCACCAAATGAAATGGCCTACCGGATTATGAATTCACTATGACGTCACTAGACGCGGCTTCTAGCAAAAAGTCGCCCTGTGTAAATCACGCTTTAAGCGCTACGCTTCAAGTAATTCTCTTCTTTCCTCTAATCCGAATTAGTTAAGCGATAAAACTCTTCAAGCAATTCACCTCTTTCTCTACTTCGAATTGCTTAAGCGATAAAACGCTTCAAATAATTTTCCATGATTCCCCTCTCCTCTCTTGAAATTTTCACCTTCCGATTTCCTCTAATCACCAACTATGACTTCACTAACGAGAGAAAGATGATCTGGTGTAATAAGCATCGGGCAGGATACAAAAAGCGGGCTAAAACCGAAAGATTACGGAAAGCTCAGATCCTAATTTAGACGCGTTCAAATCGGAGGTATTCATCTCCCTCGAAGCCTGAAAACAACTCCGGAGGACTCATTTATGGGAAAAATTTAGAGATCAAGCTTCCCCGACGTCCCAGTTGTTAAGGATAACATTTAACAGATTAAAGGACTCTTCCTATACAAAATAAATAAAGAGCAAAGTAAGAGTCAACACATTTCTTTAAAAAAGTCGCATAATTAAAAGAATAAATTACAAATAGAGAAAAGTAAAATTTAAAAAAATATATAATATAAAATGAAAAATAATAAAAACTCAGTTTAAATACAAATAAATTACAAGTTTCGGCTACCGGATTGAGCCCTCTTCAGACATCTACCCAATACATTTTATTATTATCTATCCATATAAATTATATGGATAGATAATATATTTTATCTATCCATATAAATATATTTTTAATGCATACACATAAATACACACACGCACGCACGCACGCACGCACGCACGCACGCGTTAGCAATAAAATTCATCCATGAATAGAAATAATTTATTTATCGGCACCATTCCGATTTATTCATCTTTCCAAGGATCATACGGATCCGATCCCTGATCAAAGGGATTAGATTCCTTGACCAAAATAAGAGACCAACGGTTGCATTGTCTCAGCCGGCGTAATAGCACTTCGTATTTGCGTTTATCCGCATTGAAGACTTCCTCTAGCTTCCGGCACGCATCCACAGAACGATAGCTACAAGAGAACAGTATCAGTTATCCATCCTTGCCCCCCTTCTAATTTCCATTTTCCATGAAATAAAAAATCCTGAGGTCTATACGTAACACTTCTTTTAATTGCATTTCTGCTTGGTGAACCATTTCAAGCGCATTATCCACGATCAAGTCATTTGTTAGTTACAATCATTCTGAAACTCGATCGTCTCGAATGTCTCTTACTAGAGTTCTTAATTTTTTATAAAAATAAAATCAAGGAAAAAACCTGGGTTTGTTCCGGTTGTTTTTTCTTTTTTTGAAAAATACGGAAAAATTTTTTAATGCTCTTTTAAAGTGTTCTTAATTTTGCGGAAAAATTAATTCGAGGAAGAAAACTAAATTTTTTCTATTTTTCCAAAAAAACATTCTTTATTAGATTTGCCTATATCTGAATTTAATGATAAAATGTTGCTTTAAATTATTTTAAATTATTTTTTACAAATAAATAGAGAAGATTTATCTCCGTTTATGCATTATTATATATATGACAGGTTTTTCAGATGTGTTGATTGGCTGTAGGAAAAATTCTCGAGTCAGAAATACTTTATGCTGCAGCCAAATAACATATGAACATACCTACAAACTTTGTCATACGACAATACGTACGTAATGATAACATCCTTATAAGAAATTTGTACATTTTCAGGCATTATACTCCGGTATTAAACTTCTTACATGGTTCATTTTTCCTTTTTTTCTTTTCACATTGGAAAGAAAAGGATAAATCCATGTAGGAAGTTTAATCCTGATATTATGATTTCTTTTTGTAATTAATATTCAATATCTTTTTTACCAGAAGAGATAGATAGATAACGTTATTTATTTAGCTCCAGATAACAAATGTCTCACATTTGTTAACGATATCTATAACTATTACAATCTTGTTTTTTGACGAATCTGTGTTTCTAGTTACATCCTCGACGCAGAATCTGGAAATTAAAGTGTTTGAGTATCTAGCCATTCTTATTTTAAATAATGAACACTCTGAAAATAATCTCCTAAAGGACAAACTTGTAGAATCTGTACATAACGAGCGTTTTTTCACGTTAATATTATCTAAATGAAATTCGATTATTTGCACAAATTTGTAAATTATCAAATTGTTTGTAATAACAGCTTATATTAGGAGTATAAATAAGTTTCCGCCGTTTTTGATCAAAAATTGGGCATTTATTGTGAAAAAACGGTACCTAATGTTTTATTCGAAGTATTGTCCATCGCTAGTCACTACTTTTTCCCATCTTTCTGGCAGCATACGAATACCACGTCGGAAAAACGTTTCATCTTTTGAAGCTATCCACGAATCGACCTAATTTTTGGTATCTTCATATGATGTGAAGTGTTGCTCAGACAGGCCATGCGCCATCGATCGAAACAGGTAGTAATCAGAAGGAGCAATGTCTGGTGAATACGGCGGGTGGGGTAAAACTTCCCAATTGAGTGTTTCCAAGTAGGTTTTGACTGGCGCCGCAACATGTGGACGAGCATTATCATGCAGAAGAATAACTTTGTCGTGTCTGGAGTAGTAGTGGGCGCGTTTTTCCTTGAGTACTCGGCTCAATCTCATCAATTGTGTTCGGTAGAGAGCCCCAGTAATGATTTCGTTCGGTTTGAGCAACTCATAATGAACGACACCTAACTGATCCCACCAAATACACAACATGAGCTATTTCTTCTTCTTTGGGTTATCGTAGTGGATCCATTTTTCATCACCAGTGACTACACGGTGCAAAAAACCCTTTCGTTTATGCCTGGCAAGCAGCATTTCACATGTGGAAAATCGGCGTTCACGTTTCTCGGCTTCAGTTCATATGGAACCCAATTTCCTTGCTTTTGAATCATTCCCAACGATTTTAAGCGATGTGAAATTGCTGGTTGAGTCACTCCTAATGTAAGTGCAAGTGCTTCTTGCGTTGCACGAATCTTCATCCAATAATGCTTCCAATTCCGCGTCTTCGTACACTTTCGGCCTTCCGCTACGTTCTTTATCTTCGACGTCAAATTCACCGTTCTTAAACTTTTGAAACCACTCACGGCAACTTCTCTCACTTAAGGCAGCCTCACCATATGCTTCTACAAGCAATCGATGCGCCTCAGCTGCAGATTTCTTCAAATTAAAGAAGTAAATCAAAAGCTCCCGCAAATAATGCTTATTCGGCTCAAAACTCGACATTTTCGCACGAAAAAAGATATAAGATGCTGATGCAAAATCGCTAATATTTCAAGGTTATGTTCTTGCCAAATGTTCCAACCTTATGATATGACGTTTTACAGCTGACAATTTTAACTTACTGGTAGCGCCATTGTTTGTCAAACGGCGGAAACTTATTTATACTCCCAATACTATACTGACAAGATTCGAATTTCACGATTTAAATTATTAATAGAATAAACAGCGATAACATATTGTTGTAAACTATTTTTAATTATTGTACTTATACTGAAGATGATCTAATAAAGAAACGTCTATATATTATTATTCTTTGTACTTTTAATAAATTGATTATTGTTTGCTGCCAACATCTTGCGTAATGGTATATGCCCTTTGTAACATTGTTTTAATTATAAAACCTTAGAAAATTGCTTACTTCTCTAATATCCACTTCGCTTATCAACTCATTCTCAAAGCCACAGTGAGGAAATAAAAATTACTGTTCAAAAATTGCGATCTGCAGCAATTTTTGAACAGTAATTTTTTCCCCATGCCAACGGCGCCCTCATGCGTTGGCGCTTCGGACGATTGCCTCCCTCTCCCTCCAGGCCGCCCCTATGCGATACAACTACTTTAATTTTTTGAAAAATTTCTTACCAATAGATAGTATTTCGATTTACAAATTTTGGAACACCCTATATATTATTGTTATTATATATGCTAGCACATCGATATTTTTTAATTCTTTATTTGAATAAATAATATTTCCGATAGTTTTTCTTTTATTTTTTAATTCTTTATGTAATTTTATTAACATAAATAGAATGTTATAGGTAATTACAAAAACTAATACAAATTTTAATTTAGAAAATTATGATAAATATTTAAAAAATATACTATGCGCTATTAAAATGAACATGATTAAAAAGATGAATGTGATGAAATTCTTTGATACAGATAACGAACACCAAATTAATAGATTAACAAGTTTCGAAACATCCCTTCTGAGGATCTCCATTAATCTACGAAAAATTTCATAATGCACACTCACCTAGTTACAATCAAGTGTTGACGCAGACTGACCCCGGTAACTTAACATTTTCGTTTAAATAATACCTAGCTTATTCTACCAAAACGCAAGCGGAAGCGAAAAATCAGATAGCTCAGCGACAAGACAAACGATACTAAATTTATCATTTAACATTTGTGCAAATGTAAGAATATGTGAGCCCAAAGAAAATTTAACTAAGAACATATATCACATAGCATTATCTATGTAGACAATACAGATAAAAATTCGCAATTGACATTCATCGAATGACGAGTGGCAAATGTACAGATAAATAATTAGTGATGTGCATTAATAATCAGCAAATTTTCCGTAGATTACATTTATTCGTTTCTTTTTTTCTCTGTTTATCTATTAATTCGCTATAATTTCCATAATTGATACATATTACATATATATAGAATATGCAGCAGATGATTTATTACTAGTAAACATTTTTCTAAAACATAAAAGTATAACATCGCAATTAATTGCTCTGTAGAGTTCGATGAATGATTATACTGCTTGCGGGCACTACATATGTACTTATGGTACTTCGTGCATTGGCAAGTTTGACAATTATTTTTAAAAATGTGGCACTTGTATAATCTCACCAATTAGACCGCGCATTACAAAAAAATCATATAATACAATTATAAATTCATAATTAGAAAACCTATGTACAAACTTTTGCGTGTGATATATATAAAAATTACAGATTGCAATCGATTTGATCTGCTTAAAAAAATAACAGGTACAAAGTATAAATCGCTGTACGAATAATATTTTACCACGTTTTCATTTAAGAATCCTTTGCGGTGTCGTCTGTATCACAGTCTTCGCCGTCCTGCATCGTTTGTCCCTGTAGAGCGCGACGTTTTTGCAGACGTGCACACCGTGGGCAGCAATGATTACGCTTGGCCCAACAAACGCGATGATGCACTGCCGAGCATTGCTGACAGATAACCGAGCTGGCATCCCATGGATAGATTACCTCGTCATTGCCACATATTTCGCATAAGTGTCCCCTAAGAGACAGAAATATTTCTTTTAAACTTATTTTTGGTGTTAAATAAGATTCTCTTGTATTAATCCTAATCTTTTGTGCGCACGCGCGCGTGTCTGTGTGTGTGTGTGTGTGTGTG